GGCCCCAAAAGGCAAAGGGGTAAGAAAGAGAGGAAAGAAGAATGTGCCGAAAGCCAATTCCCATCTTTTACTTTCCCCTATTTCACGTGCCCACTCCCAAACACACACACTTTTATGTTAATTAATAATTAATCATGCCTTTTGTTGGGAGGCCATTCTAATGATCTTGTGTTAGCATAAAGTCACCCACTTAATCAAGCTTTGAAGTGACCTTAATTAACTCACAAACGTGACCCTTCTTCGATCACCAAACCTCAATTTAGGTCCCACCCTTTTGATCTCTCCTCCTAATTTGGTTTCTTTTATACGCTTTCAATCATCTTTCTCTTTTATTAGTTCACACTTCACACCAAACAAACATGTCGCTCTTAGCCACCCCGTCTTTTTCTTTAACTAGCTTTTAATCCTTCTTATTCACTTTAAACTAAGTGACACCATATATAATTAATTTATAAATATTGAGAAAATTAGATTAATTATTTGTAAAATATACGTATTCATTTTTCTAAGATACCCATCTAAGTATTTACATTGAAACTGATAAAAATTTGCTTAGTGACTATAATCAATATGAATAATCTAAAAAATATTATAAATTTGAGACATAAAATTGATTAAAATTTTATATTTTATGACTAAAACAAATCCCTCAATTGTATCCACTTAACTTCTATAGGATTAAAAAAAAAAAAAGTCATCTGTGTTATTTTTTACACCGCTATCAACTCCAAAGACTCTTGCTTGTGTCAAAGGCAACGCTAAGGTACGCATTCAACAACAAAAGCAGGGAAAATAATACATTTCTAAATATCGAATCTTCAATTTGGAACTCGTAAAGGACTCGTGTTTCTGGTAGATGGCTGATTCTTGAGTTTAAATGAGGCCATGCGTATGAAAATGGTTTTGTTAAAAGAAACAAAACCTACTTTAGTAATCTTCATATCTTAAGATTATTGGTTTCTAGCTATCGGTTAGAGATACCGTCTAATTTCTAACAAAAAACAAAAGAGTCATGTTCATGAAGATATATAGAGATCTATTTATATCTAATTAAGCAGTTGACTTGACTGTAAACATTTTAATTCCATAATAAGGACAACGTACATCGAAAAAAATTACAGATCTTAATTAATTATATATTTATGAATCCATTTAAAATAATCTCAAATATTTAAATATATCATTGCTGGGCTCATCTTCATGAAGCATGCACCCCGAAATAGGGGATGTTGTTCCTCTTCTTTTGTTTTTTCTGATATAAAACAGACACTGTTGTATATGAGAAGACAAGATCTTGCGTGTTGACTATAAATGCTATAGTGGTTTGTATAATCATTTGCGTGCTTGCACGAGGCAATAAGATGGTGTATATTTTAAATATTTATATTTAAATGATGCTAATCATGTTATTATTCAGAGCAATCAATATTCCATATTAATAATAATATTTGGTTTGAATATGAGAATTTGAATTGATCCTTAACCTTTCACCTTTACACCACATTTATCACCTTAACAAACTCCAATATCCACCCGTCACTTTTAGTTAGGTCAAGTTAGGCCAAAATCAAAAGAAAAGGAAATTCGGAGAATTGTTATAAGGTTACAAGTCAGGAGCATACTCACTAAAATGTCATAAGCAGTTTGTAATAATAAGTATCAGTTAAAAATAAAAGATAACATCTTTAACTTCTTACTTATTCTTAAACTTTTTTATAATTAAAAAATGTGCATACATTTATTATATAACTGGACCTCAAATATTATTATTTTTGCATTGAATAATAGTATTTTCAATAAAAAAATACGTACACTAACAAAAAAAGTTGCAGCTTTAAGATTAGGGAAATGTTATTTAAAAAACTTACATGCTTCTGCGCATAAGTGGATAATATTTTAGATGAAGAGAGATGCCTTGCGAACTTAATAAACTGAATAAAAGTGGTTATGAGCAAAGAAAGAGACCAAAAACGTTAAGCAAACGACATTAGACATAGAATTGTCTGCTCTTCCGTATCATAAAAGTGTCACATGCCTTAATTATGGGATGACTCAGCTTGTTGTCGTTGAGTGTCACCCTGCGTTTTAAAGTCAAAACGATAATTTGTCTCACACGCACATACAGTTATATATATTCATTGCAGAGAGGGACATGTATATATATCCATATCGCTCTGGACTCTCAATCCAAAACAATAGTTATTTATAAGAGAGAGGAAAAACATTTTTTAGCCTTATTTATTAAATATTAAGAGAAATTTTTTACATAAATATATAATTTTATTTTTTATTTTTTATTGTGTTGATTTCATTTATATGAGGTATAATGTATATTAAGTAGAAATAAAGTTAAAAAATTGTTAAATTTTAAATGAAAGTTAATAAAGTTTAAGTTTTTTTGTATGAAAAATATTAAAAATAATTAGAAATTATTAAATTCATGACATATGATATATATTTTGGTATTTTTTCCCATGTTCTCATGTATTGAACTCGTTCAAATGTTAATTATCTAAGATTGAAGCAGAAAGCTATATTTTCTGGAGAAGGCATGTATAGTTTGTGCATTATGAATAATAAATTGCTTGTTGTTCAGAAAACAGAGACATATATTCACTTTTATTTATATAAAAGACCAAAGGAGAGACAAATATAGAAAATGGCAAGTTACACAACTAATTTGTCCAAATAAAATTATACAACAAAAAATTATATAATTAATTTGAAGAGGAAAAAAAAAATGTAACACCGCACGATAGATTTTTAATGTTATGATACACTACCTATGTTTCGATATCTGCAGCCATTCAACGTCCAAATGCAATGGATCGGATGCCACTTAATTAGACAGCTAAATTTATAGTACTAAGTTTTCAAATTGAGAGAACTAGATAATATAATATAATTATCCTAATATGATACATTTCCTTAGAATAATCTTATTTTCATCTAAACTGTTTATACATCAAATTTGAATTCCTTTATCAGCAAATTATATAGATACTTTATAGCATAGCTAGTATCATAAGAAAGTATTCTTCCAATTCTTAATATAAGATCTATTTAATTAATTTGATTAAATTAAAAAAGTTAGGTAAGTTAGTTAATTATAATAAATATGACATTTTTTTTAAAATACCACAATCATCTTTATTAATATCTTTTTTCTCATCCACTTATTTGATTATGGTTGAGACAGTATCTATAGGGTAATTTAAAAAAAATTAGTAAATATGAAAAATAAGTCTTATATTTAGAATAAAAATAATTTAATAATTAGGTTCTATATTAAGTATTGAAGGAGTATTTTTTTGGTGTGAATGACAATAATTTTTGAGCTCAAGTGGATTGATTAATGATTATTGTCTTAATTAACATGCCATTAAAAAAAGTCCAAAAAATATCTTAAATTTTTAAAATTTAAATCAGTTTGTTTATCAATTGACAGCCTTTGAAAGGAAATTACAACATATTTTTTATAATTATTCCTAATTTAGGATTTTCAAATTTTAAATGTATCTTTTAAGATTTTTTTCTGAAAAACAAGCCCAACAAATTACTAAAAAGAGTAATGTAAAAAATATGTGACCAGAACCAGACAGAGACAACCTAAACAATAGAATTCACTAGATTTTCTCGTTGAGAAGGTCTATTTAATTATCAAATCAAATTTTTAAAAGAAATTAAAAAAAAGAAAAAGAAAAAGGACATGAACTAGAGTGTGCTGCTCAAACTCTAGTACCCTACGTCTAGTTTGATGAAACTTTCATTTTTATTAATCTCAAGACTACGTACACGGCCTTTGCGCGTGTACTGCACGCCCGAGCTACGTGACAAAATTTCACGCGCCTTGGGTAGCACACGCGCCGAGTGGGAAGAAAGTCGGCCACATGGAATGAAAGGCGTCATGTGACTTTAGGGGGTTCCATGGAATCGAAAAATCTTCCCAAAAAAAAAACTGAGAGAGAGAGTGAGAGAGCTTATTGAAGTCTTTATGCCTTTCGCTTCTTTCTCTCTCTAGTGGCTATTTAGTTATAAGGCTGATAATTGGAGAGAGAAGGAGTGAGAGAAGAGAGAAAAGAGAGAAGAAGAAAGGTTTAGGGAGGAACCCACCTTCATCAGTTTCGCTTTCTAGGAGACCAAAGTGAAACGAACAGAACAAGAGAGAGAGAGGGAGTGAGAGAAAGAAAGCGAGATGGAAGAAAAGCTCAGAGAGAAGAAGAGAGGGAAGTGAAAGAAAGGAAGAAGGTTTGATGGTGATGGAGATGTTGTTGATGACGATGATGATGAGAGAGAACGGGTCGGCAGCATTAACTGCAGAAGAACAAAACACAGTGTGAGAGACTGAAGAGAGAGAGTAAGGTCGTGAACTCGTTCCTTATTATTTCCATTATTTCTCTCTCTCTCCCCCCTCCTTCCTGCTCCTTCTTATCTCTGTACTCTTCTTCACTCGAAGTTTTCTACTTTTCTTTCTCCATTCCTCTGTCTCTTTATTTTTGAGGGGAAAAAGCCGAAGTGGCAGAAGCAGTAGAAATAACTATTAACAGTTGCAGAAGAAGGACCAGAAACAGAAGCAACAGAAGAAGAAGCAGAAGTTGGTGTGCTTCGTTTCTCTTTCTTCTGTGGGGGAAAAAACCCACAAACAAGATCTCATCTCTCTCTTCCTCTCTCTCTCTCTATCCCCCGAACTCGATTACACTTTTAAAGCTTCCCTTTTCTTCTTCTTATCTCTCTGTCACATAAATCTGCAGAGACCCCACTTCAATAAGATCGGCATCAGAAACAATCCCTCTGGATTGCCTTCCAAGTTTCAGAAGATCTATATTTCTATCCCCTTCTATATATCTCTATCTACCTTCATTTATAGCCAGACAATCATACCATAGCATTCTGTTTCGATTAGTACTAGTGTTATTATTTTTAATTCTTTTCTCTCTCGTGTAAATTTTAAATCGGAGACCCTATTTTTCATTTTCTAAATTGGGTTTATTTGATTTTAACTCGAATTAACACCACATTCAGTAGTTGTGGCTACTACAAGGAGGCTGCCTTCAGATTCTGGTGGTGCCTTCGCAGACTGGGCAACCACATCCTCTGCCGGACGCGCCGCCGCCCCCGACGATCTCTCCCTGGGATTCAATGCCGGTCCCGCCTCCGCCACCCGGGGGGCTCCGGCCGGAATGTGGTCCGGAGGGTCTAGGTCAGTCAACTTTGGCCATTCCGAGATGGGCATGGTGGGCCTTCGAGATGTCTTCGTGGTGGCGTCTGCTTCTCCCTACCATAACGACGTCGTCATGCCCGATCCTCACAACGGCGCCATCCACGGCGTCGGCGTTATCCCACTCCTCCCGGCGGGTCCTTGTCTCGACGGTGACACAGGCAACATGCTCAATCTCAGCAGTCATAATCGAAGCCGTAGCAGCGGAATTCAGCTGTGGCAAGATCATTACCTGAAGGAGCACGGCCTTCCCGAGCACAACGGTACGACTAGCTCCGGCAATCTTGCTCTCAGCGGCGGCGGCGGTGGAGGGTTAAGCGGCTCGGCTTTGAGCTCAGGAGGTACAACGTGTCAGGACTGTGGCAATCAGGCGAAGAAAGATTGTAGTCATAGAAGGTGCAGAACTTGCTGCAAGAGCCGAGGTTTTGATTGCCCTACTCACGTGAAGAGCACATGGGTACCCGCTGCTCGTCGGAGGGAACGCCAGCATATGGCTGCCGCCGCTTCCGCTGCAGCCGGTGGTGGTGGTGGGTTCAGTGGAGCTACATCAGTCGCCAAGAAACCTAAACTCGTCGCCTCGCAAACCACTACCGCCTCACGTACTTCTACTTCCAACACAACTCCTCCTCGAAGCTTTGACACTACCTCAAGCCATCAAGGTTTGTATTTATATTCATACGTTAAATCTCTTAAGGGTCAAACATTAGTCTTCGAGAAGCACCGATACGAAACACGACATGATCAAACCGGACAACGTGTATATATTAACAGAGTTTGAGACGTCGTGTCTGGAAGTATTGGTGGTTCTTTACGAGTAGAGTTTTTGTTCGTCGGTGATAGTGTTTATGGTTTTTAAGGAGAATTTGAAGGACATGTAGGGTTTGGGTTGAAATGTGCGTGCAGATGCGAGTTTCAAAGAGTCATTGCCGGGTCAAGTACGTGCGCCGGCTGTGTTCAAGTGCGTTCGTGTTTCGGCGGTGGATGACGGCGGAGACGACGAGTATGCTTATCAAGCAGTTGTGAAGATTGGTGGCCATGTGTTCAAAGGGATTCTGTATGATCAAGGGGTTGAAAATGGAGAAGCCTATCCTAATATCTCTGACCTGCATTTGGGCGGTGGTGGTGGTGGACACGGCGGAAGCAGCGGCGGTGCCGGAAGAAACGGAGCTTCTTCTTCGTCCCCAATGCTTGATCCTTCTGATATATACGCCGCTGCTTCAGGTGGGGCTTTTCTTGCCGGTTCAACATATGGTAATGCCATAAATTGATGAGAAACTGTCTTTCCGAGTGCAAGATATTAATGGAGACGGGCTTGGGAAGGAAGGAAGAAAGAAAGAAACCAAGAATCAAATCATCATCATCAATGAATGAATGACAATGGAGGCCTAATTTTCCATCTTTTTGCTTATTTTTCATAGTGGGGGATCAATATTTTTATGTCTTTTAATCTTGTCATATATTATTTTAATTTAAATATATATGCTTTACTTCTTTTACATTTTCAATTTTGTTTCTGCTTCTCTTTCTCTATCTCTCTCGTCCCCTCCTCGAGCCCCGATCGATTTTTGTCATTGCATGATATGATGTTAAGTGAAGAAGTTACTTTTGTCTCCCAATTTAGTTTATACGTACCAAATGATCCGAAATGGAATAAAGTATTGAAAGGTATAATATATTTTGTTTTTATTGTTTGTGTTTCCAGCTTATTGGTTTATAATGAATAATATCTGCTTCCCTTTTGGTAACTATTCCTGCCCTTCATTATTCGTTTCCTTTTGTTTTTGAGGCAAGTTTGTCATCCTAGGTGTACTCCACAGTGTAAAGTATCGATCATAATGAACCTAGAGATCTTTAAAGATAGTTGTGTTACTGTTGCAATGTTTTAACTTTCTTGCTAGGAGTAGAAAATGATAACTGCATACTTGTCATTGGGATTTCTTGTTGTTTTTTTTACTTTTACCTCTAGGGCCTCGTTGAAATTCTCCCTTTATCTTATGTGCAACACACTTAGAAAGCGAATATTGTAATGGTTTGCTTGCCTTGTTGGTTATGGATTAGTGTAGAATAGAAATAAATGTGGGTTTCACTTCACAGTGCTTCTTTAGACTTTGGCATTAGAAGTGGTTGTGAGGTCACCATCATTATATATGGCTGTCATTTTCATCCTGTTTTATTGGTCACCAGTCATTATCTCCATCTCACTACTGATGCCTAAACAGCCTACCAAGTTCCTGTAATCTCACAAGATCCCCCAATAAAATAACACTTGGTTTCCAATGTCCATACACAGTAAAATTTGAAGTGTTTATATGCAAATTAGAAGAATTTTTGTATCTTGCTTTGTGCATGTGTGATGTTAAGTTTCATTGTGGCTTCCTAGTTTTGTCGTACCTGTTATAATCCAGGATAATCATTGTCTGAAATGGGTTGCTTGGATTTTTCAAATATTATATTGCTGGGGGAGCAGAATTGGGACAACTCTTGTCTTTGAATCTTGCTTGCTGCTTTTTTTTTTTTTGGGGGGGCTTTGTTTTGCTGTTGATAAAGAAGTGGGTTATTGTCCGTCTTCAATGCATGTTTTTCGATGATCTTATCGTGCACATACTTGCTACCACCTTTTCATTGCACTATGTATTTTGTCATGTGGGTTGCATTATAATTGTTTTTCCTTTTCTTGCCGTGCTGTCTTGTGGTGGACTTTGGATTCTATTCTACTCAAGTAAAGTCCAGGAGTATAACTATAAAATTGATTATTGTGGATGGAATAATATTCTCATTCCTTCTACACTTTTGTGTTCTACTGTGGGAAGTTGGATTGATGCTAAAATGTTGAATCTTCCCTTAACAGCAAAGCATTTGGAAACATGGACAACCTCTGAAAATGCTGGCTGCCTTAATTTTGTGCAAGTTCCGACAATTGTGTAAATGGTCTTTAACTATTTTTGACAAGTTTTAGAAGGAGAATAAGCAGATTTAAGGAAGTAATGAAATTGGATATCATGGTGCATATTAAATTCTATCTGAACAATTAGATGTTGATGGATCTCCTTGGAGTTTAGTTTTTCTTTTGGGTTAAACGGGTAGGTACTAACGGCCTTAGTTTTCCATTTAAGGGAAATATTTATGTTCACTTTGTGGAATAAGGCTTGTTTTTGTTATTACCTGCATGGGGTGTTGGGTTCAAATTCTTTTTACGATTGGTAAGCTTGATTCTTAAGGCTTGTTTGCATCTGTGATTGATAAATACTTGTAAGCATTTTCAAGTATGTTTATCTCGTATTATGTAATCACAATTTAAAGGCTGTGATTGTAAACAAGTCCTTAGTAACTGGTTTTTAGGGACTACTTGAATAGTCTTTTTGATGTAATCCATCTGTTCCATTAACGCAAAATCTGGTCCTGGGTCTGTAATTTCGGATGTTTATTTGGTAATTGTCTCATTGGTGCTGGATAATTTGATTTGCTTTGTTTGTTTGGATATGTTTATGCTTAAAACTGCTTTATTCCATGATCTTATGATAAATCTTCTCTCAGGATTGATTGGATTTTGAACTTGTCATTGTCTTCGTACTTAATAAAATCTGAAGTGCGTTTGTGTCATTTTTACAATGTGTAAAATGACAAGCTCGAGTTTATATTGGACAAAGTCAGCTTGATGCGTGGAATCTGACTTGCTGGCTAAATGAATATAAGATAAACATAAATATAAATGAGAGAATATATTATTTAGGCAAATCAACATTCAAAATTTTTTCATCTCTTGGGGTCATTGTAATCTCTGATTTGTGGTGGCATTTGTCCTGTTGGAGTTCCTGTTTAAAGCACTGCAAAGGCTCTGACAGAAACTATTAGGGTTCTGAATTTCGGAATTTGTGACTTTGAGGTGTTTTCTTGTTTCTTGTGACATCGGTGTGGACGAGTAGGGGAGCGTTTCTATTTTCTGTTTGTTATAATAAAGAAATTATCTGGAGAAACTGCACTGATGATGAACAATACTGGGGAAAAAAAGGTTTCATTGTATTTTTAAATTTAGTTTAATGATTGGATGAATTTGATTCGAGCAAGATAATTTTCTGCTTGGCAAGAATTTATTTTAATGGAATTTAAAGTTGGTAATTCATATTTGGAAAGTAATTTTGGGTTTTTTAAGCGGTTTGTTAATTATAATTTTTGAAATACAAAATAATATATATATACAATGAGTTTTGTTTTGACGTATATAAAAAATATTTATGGGTAATTTTTATCGTGATGTCAAATAGGACTTTAATTCGATGATATGTTGAAAACAAGTTGCTTCTTGGCTGCGGGAACAAACATCTTTGTATATTTTTTTTCAAAGAAGTAAAAGAAAAACTGACACAACAAGCGGGAAAATTGATTGATTGTGAGGTTTTGTTCCATTGCGCATAATGCTTTCACATCAAAACGTAAAGTTGATCATTCCCAAAGCTCTGTGTTCTCCATTCGGCGAGATTCAATCTTTTGTGGTTATCTAATTTCTGTATTTGTAAAATTGTGTTCTCTCTTTTCTCAAAAACGACTTAATTGTTTTATTTTAATTTATTAATTATTATCATACCTTATACTCTTCTCGTCTTATTTTATAAGTAACTTCTAATATGTTTTATTTTAAACTTAATTAACTCTTATTTAAGGTTTAAGTAAAATTGTATAATCATATAAAAAATTTCTCTTTCTATCTTATAAATAGGATAAAAAACTTTTTTTTTTTCTATTAGCCTTCTAAATATGATCATATCTTGACTCTCAAATATTCTATGTTCAGACGACCACTCAACTCGTATAATCAAAGAGAGTACAAAGAAAGTGCATAAATTTTGGTTGGTGCATATTTTAAGATTTGATTTAACATAGATGCTAAGATACATGGCTTTTGAAAATATGTCTTTTGAAGATATGTTACATGTAAGCTTTCTAGACTTGATGATATGTCATGCAATCAAGTTAATATAACAGTTATATACCTAATTTATAGATAAATTAAGAAAAAAAATTTAGGTTAAGTTTTTTTATATCTTTCATATCAAGTTTTTTAATTACACGTAGTCATATTTTTTTTGGTTTTATATAAATTTATAATTAAATGTTAGTATTTTAAAAATAGGACATAGATATGGTCATATATGATTAGAGAATTTAACACAACGGATACAATGAACTTGATGTAAGTAGTGTCTTTAAGAAAATTAGTTGAGTTAATTATTACATTCATAATAAGTATGTATTGGTTTTTTTAAATTATCTTTTTTAATTATGTGTATTAGAATTATCTCATTCTAAATACCTCCTTAATATGTGCAATATCAATGAGGATGGTTTACACAAGTTGATTGATGTCTTATATTTAAAGTTGAAATAAACTTGTTATCTAGTTTTTATAGTTAAAATGGAAGGCAATATATAAAAAAAGGTCTCATGAGATGAATAGGTCTAAAATTAAAGAGATATATGTCCTAAGCTAATGTATATGTGTGATATATGATTTATTGATGCTTCAAGAGGGTTTATTGCACCAATCCAAAATACTAATGCACATTACGAGGATACATCAAGGCTTTGTCTATTTACTGATAAAGTCATGGCTTTGGTTTCTCTATAGAGCAGATCATTTGCACAAACTTGTGCAGATGAAATTATGAATGTGTCATTTGAGTTTCGAATTGAAATACAAATATGAGACTTTTAGTTTAATTTGCAATTAAGTTTTAGAGATTGTTAGTAAAGAAATTGAACAAGAAAGTCATGAGTATAATAGCCTAGCATGCATTGGTTTTACAAAGTGTGGAATTAGTTGTTGCGTTTATTTTAGTTTATAATATAAAATTTTAATATATTTTATCTCTCAAATTTATAATTTTTTAAAAAATTATTCTCAGTGAATTCACATGTTAAAAGAAGTTTTCATTGATAGGGGTAATTTCCAATTTTTTTTTAAAAAGAGGTTTTTTTTTATGGAAACTAACGCTTTTTTTAAAATAAATAATTAACTAAATATTTATAGAATTGGAGGTGATTTGTGTTCAAAGCAATTCATGTATGCCACAAAACTAGGATTCACACCACGTCCATTATCTGGCTGGATATTTTCGGCTTATGAGATGCTTTTTTTCGATATTATTGTCTATGTTGTTAGGCGTAATTTTTCTGTAAACTTT